TACTGTATTATCTTGTTGTATTTTCTGCTTATTGCTACTGCCTTCTTTTACATCTTTTTGTGAGTCGAGAATCTATCGGAAACAACCTCTCAGATCTCCGTATACCCCATCCTCCAAGAAGGCCAGACCCCACCAATGGGACTACACCGAGTTTGCTAGTTAGTTAGTTAGTTAGTTAGTTTCATGAAGTGTTTGTTAGCGTATGAGTGAAGTCATGAGCTCTCTTTGTGACTCAACAAAAATTTCTTTTCATTTGTGTGGAAATAAGTTCAGTCTTATTATTCGTTGACATATTCGACTGATAAAACAGATAATTGGACAGAATTTGAATCTTCACATCACTTAATCTAGAGTTTCCTCATATTATGATCAAACTACTTGACTCGAACGATATATGTGTCATCCTATATATCCTCCCTTCCATGTATGACTAAACTTTAAGGACTATAACGACATGTTTCTTTCGTTCTGCTCTCCGAAAAGACAGAACAGCACTCTCACACTCACCTATAGAAAAAAATGTTAAATCTAGTCGGACTTAATGGACTCCTGCACTGTCTTCCATCAGCTAGTTGATTCTCGTGGAAAATTGGATGGAGGTGGCGCACTATGTAAGGCGCTGTATTAAGAGTAGATTTCCAGTATAAACTTAATGCATTAGCATAGTGACAGTCCTATTCCTAAGTTGTGTAGTGGTCCTATTCCTGGAATCCAATTAAGTTGGCAAAACAAATAAGGTAGCACACAAAATGCATGTATAATGTGTTATATACAAGTAGTGGGACTTTGTCTGTTGACTTAAGAGTGTGAACTATTGATAGTTTCTGGCATTAACTTGTGTGACGCAATAAATGGGCTATATATACATCATCAAAATTGTTGAATAGACACACAAAGCAAACGTTTCTTAATTTCTTCTCTACCAACTTGATTAGGTTTGATCATTTTTAGTGCAGAAATGGATTGTGTAAAACTTGTGTTTTTCATGCTATATACCTTTCTCTGTCAACTTGCTTTCTCCTCATCCTCACCTCATTTATGCCCGATAGATCAAGCTCTTTCTCTTCTACAATTCAAGAACATGTTCAACATTAATCCTAATGCTTCTGATTATTGTTACGACATAAGTACAGGCGTAGAGATTCAGTCATATCCAAGAACTCTTTTCTGGAACAAGAGTACAGATTGTTGCTCATGGGATGGAGTTCACTGTGACAAGATGATAGGACTAGTGATTGAGCTTGATCTCCGTTGCAGCCAACTTCAAGGCAAGTTTCATTCCAATGGTAGCCTCTTTCAACTCTTCAATCTCAAAAGGCTTGATTTGTCTTTTAATAATTTCACCGGATCACTCATTTCACCTAAATTTGGTGAATTCTCTAGTTTGATGCATCTTGATTTGTTGGATTCAGGTTTTACAGGTATAATCCCTTCCGAAATTTGTCACCTTTCTAAACTACGTTCTGCGTATCTCGACTGATTATCCATATGGGCCTCACAATTTTGAACGGCTCCTTAAGAACTTGACCCAATTAAGAGAGCTCCACCTTGAATCTGTCAACATCTCTTCCACTATTCCTTCAAATTTCTCTTCTCATTTAACAAATCTACAACTTTCACGTGCAGAGTTACATGGGATATTGCCCGAAAGAGTTTTTCACCTTTCCAACTTAGAATCCCTTCATTTATCAGACAATCCCCAGCTCACGGTTAGGTTTCCCACAACCAAATGGAATAGCAGTGCATCACTCATGAAGTTATACGTCTATAGTGTGAATATTGCTGATAGGATACCTGAATCATTTAGCCATCTAACTGCACTTCATAAGCTGGACATGGGTTATAATAATCTGTCAGGGCCTATTCCTAAACCTCTATGGAATCTCACCCATATAGAGAGTTTGTTCCTTGATTATAACCATCTTGAAGGACCAATTTCCCATTTCACGATATTTGAAAAGCTCAAGAGGTTATCACTTGGAAATAACAACTTTGATGGCCGTCTTGAGTTCTTATCCTTTAACAGAAGCTGGATGAAGCTTGAAAGGCTAGATTTTTCATCCAATTTCCTAACTGGTCCAATTCCATCCAATGTAAGTGGACTGCAAAACCTACAACAACTCATCTTGTCGTCAAACCACTTGAATGGGACTATACCTTCCTGGATATTCTCCCTTCCTTCACTGACAGTTTTAAACTTGAGTGATAACACTTTGAGTGGAAAAATTCAGGAGTTCAAGTCCAAAATATTGAATGTCGTTTCTCTAAACCAAAATCAGATGGAAGGTCCAATATCAAATTCATTCATAAACCAGACAAGCCTAAGGTTTCTTCTCCTTTCGCACAATAATATAAGTGGACAGATTGCTTCAACTATCTGCAATCTAAAAACACTAATAGTTCTAGATTTGAGAAGTAATAATTTGGAGGGAACAATCCCACAATGTTTGGGTGAGATGAAAGAAAATCTTTGGATTTTGGATTTGAGCAACAACAGCCTTAGTGGGACAATTGATACAACTTTTAGTATTGGAAACTCTTTCAGGGTTATTAGCTTGCATGGGAATAAGCTAACGGGAAAAGTCCCACCATCTTTGATTAATTGCACGTATTTGATACTTCTTGATCTAGGTAATAATCAGTTGAATGACACATTTCCAAACTGGTTGGGAGACCTACCTGATTTGCAGGTTTTAAGCTTGAGATCAAATAAGTTGCATGGTCCCATTAAATCTTCGGGGAATAATATCTGCAATCTGAAAACATTGGAAGTGCTAGATTTGCGAAGCAATAATTTAGAGGGAACAATCCCACATTGTATGGGTGAGATGAGTGCAGTTAAGATTTTGGATTTAAGCAACAATGGTCTTAGTGGGACAATTAATACAACTTTTAGCATTGGAAACACATTCAACATCATTAAATTGGATGGCAACAAGCTACAGGGGAAAGTTCCACCATCTTTGATCAACTGTGAAAAATTGGAATTTCTAGATTTAAGTAACAATGAGTTGAATGACACGTTTCCAAAATGGTTGGGTGGCCTACGGAATTTGAAGATCTTAAATTTGAGATCAAATAAGTTGTATGGCCCTATAAGGACTGACAACTTCTTTGCTCAAATTCGAGTAATAGATATCTCATCCAATGGATTTAGTGGAGATTTACCGGTGAGCTTGTTTCAGAATTTTCAAGCCATGAAAACAAATGGTGAGAATAGTGGAACCTGAAAGTATGTACCAGATATATATTCTTTTTCTTACAATATTTCTTTGATAGTGACTACAAAGGGACTAGATCGTGTAATTCCTCGAATTTTAATTACACAAATACTTATCGATCTCTCAAGGAATAGATTTGAAGGTCATATTCCAAGCATTATTGGAGATCTCGTTGGACTTCGTACCTTAAACTTATCTCATAATGTCTTGGAAGGTCATATACCAGCATCATTGCAAAATCTATCTGTGCTCGAATCATTGGATCTCTCATCCAACAAATTAGATGGTGAAATTCCACAACAACTTGTGTCTCTCACGTCACTTGAAGTCTTAAATCTCTCTCACAATCATCTTGTTGGATGCATCCCCAAAGGAAAACAATTTGATACGTTTGAGAACAATTCCTACCTAGGAAATGATGGATTACGAGGATTGCCACCCTCAAGAGATTGTGGCCGTGATGATCAAGCGACAACTCCAGCTGAGCTAGATCAAGAAGAAGAAGAAGAAGAAGAAGATTCACCAATGATCAGTTGGCAAGCAGTTCTCATGGGTTATGGTTGTGGACTTGTTATTGGACTATCCGTAATATACATAATGTGGTCAACTCAATATCCAGCATGGTTTTCCAGGAGGGATGTAAAATTGGAACACATAATTACTACGAGAATGAAAAAGCACAAGAAAAGATATTAGTGAGTAGTTACCTCCAGGTATTCAACTTGATCATTATCTTTCAGAAGATTATTTTTTATATATCGATGAAATTATCGACCTCCTTCATCCTCAAAGATCTTAACTTTAACTCTTCATTTTTTAAAATTGCAGGATTCAAAGACTTCCGAGTTCCAAGTTGCTGGGGATGCAGATAAAAGCCTTCTTATCTTTCATAGTTTGTAATGTTTCCATGAAGTGTTTCTTATCCTATGAATAAAGATTTTATTTTCATTTGTCTATGGCACGTAGATAGGTTCCGTCACTAAAAACATTGTATTTCTCTCAACTCTTTCGGCACATGATATCAAAGAACACTCGACTTAAATTAAGTTGCTGTAGTCTGCTGTTTTAATTTTTTCCATTGAAACACAACCGACGTATCATGAGAAAGAGACTATGATCTCAGAAATGGGAATCTTCCAATCCAAAACTCAGAAAGTCTAGTATCAAACACACCCGACCCTGCAGCATCTACTGGAACTTTTTTCATCTTACATTTTTTATTACTACCGGTTGTTTCTCTAGCTTCGATTTAGAAAAAAAAACCTCTCTACCTTCAAGGTAGTGGTAAGGTTTGCGTACAGACTATTCTCCCAAGATGGCCAGGCCCCACTGGTGGGAATCGATTACACTGAGTTTGTTTGTTAGCCTATGAAGAACATGCCGTGTCTGGAGTGTCTTCCATCAGTAGGTCAATTCTCATGGAAAATGGGCTCGAGCTGGCGCACTATGTAAGGCGCTGTATTCAGAGTAGATATCCAGTCTACACTTAATGCATTGGCAAAAAGACTGTCCTATATTTAAGATATAAAGTTGTTATGTTTCTTTCAATGTCTATACACCAACTAATTGAGTTGTGTGGTGGTCCTATAGTTTTCGGCATTCACTTGTGTGTCACATTGAATGGGAATATGTGATTCACAAGTTCAAATTGATTGAAAATGACTACGTAACCAATAGTCTATACACCAAGTAAAATAATACTCTTGAGTTGTGTGGTGGTCCTATTCCTGCAATCCAATTAAGTTGGCAAAACAAATAAGGTATCACACAAAATGCATGTGTAATGTGTTATATATGTAAGTGGTGGGGACTTAAGAATGTGAACTATTGATAGTTTCTGGCGTTCACTTGTGTGACACAATCAAAATTGTTGAATAGACACACAAAGCAAACGTTTCTTGATTTCTTCTCTACCAACTTGATTAGTTTTGATCATTTTTAGTGCAGAAATGGGTTGTGTAAAAATTGTGTTTTTTATGCTATATACCTTTCTCTGTCAACTTGCTTTGTCGTCATCCTCACCTCATTTGTGCCCGAAAGATCAAGCTCTTTCTCTGCTACAATTCAAGAACATGTTTACCATTAATCCTGATGCTTCTGATTATTGTGATTCTTCTCATCCAAGAACTCTTTTCTGGAACAAAAGCACAGATTGTTGCTCATGGGATGGAGTTCATTGTGACAAGATGACAGGACAAGTGATTGAGCTTGATCTCCATTGCAGCCACCTTCAAGGCAAGTTTCATTCAAACAGTAGCCTCTTTCAACTCTCCAATCTCAAAAGACTTGATTTTTCTTATAATGATTTCACTGGATCGCCCATTTCACCTAAATTTGGTGAGTTTTCTAGTTTGAGACATCTTGATTTGTCGCGTTCAGGCTTTACTGGTCTAATCCCTTTCTGAAGTCTCTCATCTTTCTAAACTATACGTTCTTCGTATCGGTGATCTAAATGAGCTTAGTCTTGGGCCTTACAATTTTGAACTGCTCCTTAAGAACTTGACCCAATTAAGAGAGCTCCACCTTGAATCTGTCAACATCTCTTCTACTATTCCTTCCAATTTCTCTTCTCATTTAACAACTCTACAACTTTCAGGCACAGAGTTACATGGGATATTGCCCGAAAGATTCTTCCACCTCACCGACTTAGAATCCCTTGATTTATCATTCAATCCCCAGCTCACAGTTAGGTTTCCCACAACCAAATGGAATAGCAGTGCATCACTCATCAAGTTATATCTCTATAATGTGAATTTTACTGGTACGTTACCTGAATCGTTTAGCTATCTAACTGCACTTCATAAGCTGGACATGGGTTATACTAATCTGTCAGGGCCCATTCCTAAACCTCTATGGAATCTCACCAGCATAGAGATTTTGTACCTTGATTATAACCATCTTGAAGGACCAATTTCCCACTCCACGATATTTGAAAAACTCAAGAGGTTATCACTTAGAAATAACAACTTGGATGGCGGACTTGAGTTCTTATCCTTTAACACCCAACTTGAATGGATAGATTTATCATCCAATTCCCTAACTGGTCCAAATCCATCCAACGTAAGCGGACTTCAAAACCTAGAATGGCTCTACTTGTCATCAAACAACTTGAATGGGAGTATACCTTCCTGGATATTCTCCCTTCCTTCATTGATAGAGTTAGACTTGAGCAATAACACTTTCAGTGGAAAAATTCAAGACTTCAAGTCCAAAACATTAAGTGTCGTTTCTCTACGACAAAATCAGCTGGAAGGTCCTATTCCGAATTCACTCCTAAACCAGAGCCTATTTTATCTTGTCCTTTCACACAATAATATCAGTGGACATATTTCTTCATCTATCTGCAATCTGAAAAAAATGATATTGTTAGACTTGGGAAGTAACAATTTGGAGGGAACGATCCCACAATGTGTGGGTGAGATGAAAGAAAACCTTTGGAGTTTGGATTTGAGCAACAACAGACTTAGTGGGACAATCAATACAACTTTTAGTATTGGAAACTCTTTAAGGGTCATTAGCTTGCACGGGAATAAGCTAACCGGGAAAGTCCCACGATCTTTGATCAATTGCAAGTATTTGACACTACTTGATCTAGGTAACAATCAGTTGAATGACACATTTCCAAACTGGTTGGGAAACCTATCTCAATTGAAGATTTTAAACTTGAGATCAAATAAGTTGCATGGTCCCATCAAATCTTCAGGGAATACAAACTTGTTTACGCGTCTTCAAATTCTTGATCTATCATCTAATGGATTTAGTGGGAATTTACCCGAAAGTATTTTGGGGAATTTGCAAGCCATGAAAAAAATTGATGAGAGTACAAGAACACCAGAGTATATTTCTGATATTTATTACAATTATTTGACGACAATTACTACAAAGGGACAAGATTATGATTCTGTTAGAATTTTTACTTCTAACATGATTATCAATCTCTCAAAGAACAGATTTGAAGGTCGTATTCCAAGCACTATTGGAGATCTTGTTGGACTTCGTACGTTGAATTTGTCTCATAATGTCTTGGAAGGTCATATACCGGCATCATTTCAAAATTTATCAGTACTCGAATCATTGGATCTCTCATCTAACAAAATCAGCGGAGCAATTCCGCAGCAGCTTGCATCCCTCACATTCCTTGAAGTCTTAAATCTCTCTCACAATCATCTTGTTGGATGCATCCCCAAAGGAAAACAATTTGATTCGTTCGGGAACAGTTCATACCAAGGGAATGATGGGTTACGCGGATTTCCACTCTCAAAACATTGTGGTGGTGATGATCAAGTGACAACTCCAGCTGAGCTAGATCAAGAAGAGGAGGAAGAAGATTCACCAATGATCAGTTGGCAGGGGGTTCTCGTGGGTTACGGTTGTGGACTTGTTATTGGACTATCCGTAATATACATAATGTGGTCAACTCAATATCCAGCATGGTTTTCGAGGATGGATTTAAAGTTGGAACACATGATTACTACGAGAATGAAAAAGCACAAGAAAAGATATTAGTGAGTAGCTATACCTCCAGGTATTCAACTTTTTATATATCAATGTATTTTCATCCTCAAAGCTCTTACCTTTAATTCTTATTGCAGGATTCATGTCGACAAAGTTTCTGAAGATGCAGATAAAATCCTTTATCTTTCATAGTCTGTGATGTTTTCGTAATGTATTTGTTATCCTATGAATAAAAACATGACTTTTCTTCCTTTCAGACTCAAATCATAGTTTGCTTTCATTTGTCTCTGGCATGTAGATATAAATTCGACTGATAAACAAAAGTCGGACATAATGTTGAATCTTTGAAACAATCAGACGATATGTTTCATCGCTAAAGACATTGTATTGCACTCAACTCTTTCACATAGACATCATAACACAAACGTACAACACTCTACTTTAAGTTCGGAAACATAAAAATCTGTTTTACAGAGTTCGAAAATATCTTATTTCAGACTCATGATGTTCCTTCATCGAAAGATCAAAGAGACATCAGGAAAAATATTTGTAATATTCTCTACTGCCTGAGCCTCACATAGAGATCTAAGTTTCGGACGATAGAGTTACCTGATATCTCTATTGATGTAAAGTAGACAGCAGTACCGATTGAATTAATCGAATAGAACACAAGCTGACGTGAGAGCATCACTGTTATACAACAACAAACTACGCTTCAGCCCGAAACAATAACTTGCATAGGGACCTTCAATAATGTTCAAAGCCCAAAAGAAGATGGACATAAACACACAACTGAGTGATAGAATTCTAGTGATTGAAATTAATATGGACTTCAAACTTCATTTGGGAAGAAATCAAGCAGAAGCGCTTGACTGCAGGTGAGGTTTATCGTGATCAATTGTTATGCAGATTAATTAATTAGCAATCCGCTTCCTAATTTCAAAGTTTGGGGGTCAAGATAAAAATTCAGCTAATGAAAAGTAGAAAACTAACAGAAACACCTCTCCAAACAGACTTTGGAAGCAGATTTGCGGTGCATTTTCACCAAAATGTATCCTCCTTGATCTGTCGAGCTATGACTTAGCTGATTTTGATGAGTCGAGATTTCGTCATCAAGCTGCTGCAGTTATCAGCTCCACTAAATTAAAATGAGGGCTGGAACCTTGTGTGTTCCAGCATCTAACATTGCTTTTCTCAAACTCTACTGATGTTATATTAACAAAGATTGAATTTTATTTAACTTATATTTAAGGTGTGCAAAATGATATTTTAATAATAATAATAATTCAATTGTGAGAGGTTAATACATATTAAATATTGTAATTATATGAATACAAATATATATTAGAGAAAACTTATTGAGAATTCTAATATTTGACTAAGTAAATATTTTATAACATTTTAACTTATAGTAGGGGTAAAATGGTAATCTGATTTTGAAGTAAAAAGCTTTTCACTTTTATTATTATTATTATTATTATTAATAATAATAATAATAATAATAATAATAGGAATTAATCTAAGAAAATTCAAAAGTCATTACTTATTAATTAAACTAATTATAACTTTTTAATTTATAGGAGGGTAAAACCGTAAATAATAATAATAATAATAATAGTATGAATTAATCTAAAAAATACAAAAGTCATTAATGTTTAATTAAACTAATTATAACTTTTAAATTTATAGGAGGGTAAAATCGTAATTCAACTTTTGACTTGAGTTCTTCCCACTTATGAAAGTCGTGTAAAACAACGATATTTTTTGTGAGATGCATGTGTTATGTACAAGTCGTGGAACTTTGTGTTGTTGCTTGCATTTGAATTGAGAATTAATGCGGGATGCTTCGTACAAACTTATTGAATTTTCAACTTCAAAGGTTTTTTCCCGGTTCTATACGCAAACTAAGAAAAATTTAAATTATATAGTCTTTGGATGGTGACCTATTTGAACCTTTTTGGAAAGATGAACCCGTAATTAACGCGGCGTTCGAGGTATTTTCGGAGAAATTGAAGGAGCTTGAAGGGATAATTGATGCTAGAAATGCTGATTGTAATTTGAAGAATAGAAATGGAGCTGGAGTTATGCCTTATGAATTATTGAAACCATTTTCTGAACCTGGAATTACTGGAAAAGGTGTACCATATAGCATTTCCATTTGATTTTTAAAAAAAAAAATTGTGAATTTTGTAATAAGATGCAATTGAAAGAAGTATATATTATAATGCAAGACAATTGTTGTAATCCTACTGGTCCAACTGTTACGGTATTGTCGTTATCTTTGAGCCTCGGTGCCTCTTCTGAACTCATTCTTGTAAGATCCCTAACTTTCTTCTTCCATTTCGATGTAAGATTCGCCTAAAGTGTAACATGTAACATATTCGTCTTTTTCAGGGGCTATGATCCGTCCGTCATGGACGTCTCGAATGTGTATTTCTTGTTTTGTAAATGCCCTTTGTAACAATATTAGTTCTAACCATCACTGCTAAAATAAAATAGGATTTAGTAAATTGACGGATAAATTTGGTAGTTGAACAACAAAATTCATCGTTAATTCTATTTGGCGACAGATTTCTGCTAACTACGAGTGAAATAACGATGGTCATCGCATTTGTTTTTTTTTTAATTTTCCTTGGCTATAATTTGAACTTGACTTGGAAGTCAAGATCTATGCACCAATCAATTTGTTTTTGGAATTTTGATTTGAAATGTCTTTTCTCAAAGTTGATGAACCAAATATTACGCTTACTATGATAGCTACCTCTTATGATTAATCAAACTTTTTTGAATTTTCAACTTTAAATGTCTTTGCCCCATTCTATACACCAACTAAGAAAAATTAAAATTACATAGTCTTTGCTTATTTGGATTAATAGGGGCATTTTTGGACCAAACTATTAGATGTATGAATATTTTGGACCAAGCTATTGACAACACGAACATTTTTAGACCAAACTATTAACTCAGAATATTTTCCGTTGAATGAATAGGTAACTAGTAGTAAATTTTTAGACCAAACTATGAAGAACATGCCATGTCTGGACTCCTGCACTGTCTTCCATCAACAGGTCAATTCTCGTGGAAAATAAGCTCGAGGTGGGGCACTATGTAAGGCGCTGTATTCAGAGTAGATTTCTAGTCTAAACTGAATGCATTAGGAAAATGACTAGGTAACTAGTACTAAATTATTTTATTTGTGCTATATATACCTCATCTAAATTATTGAATAGACACCCAAAGCAAACATCTCTTAATTAGTTTTGATCATTTTTAGTGCAGAAATGGGTTGTGTAAAACTTGTGTTTTTCATGCTATATTCCTTTCTCTGTCAACTTGCTTTCTCCTCATCCTCATCTCATTTGTGCCCGAAATATCAAGCTCTTGCTCTTCTACAGTTCAAGAACATGTTTACCGTTAATCCTGATGCTTCTTATTATTGTGAGTTTTCTCATCCAAAAACTCGTTCCTGGAACAAGAGCACAGATTGTTGCTCATGGGATGGAGTTCATTGTGACAATACAACAGGACAAGTAATTGAGCTTGATCTCCGTTGCAGCCAACTTCAAGGCAAGCTTCATTCCAATAGTAGCCTCTTTCAACTCTCCAATCTCAAAAGACTTGATTTGTCTTATAATGATTTCACTGGATCGCCCATTTCACCTAAATTTGGTGAGTTTTCAAATTTGACGCATCTTGATTTGTTTGATTCTAATTTTACGGGTATAATCCCTTCCGAAATTTCTCATCTTTCTAAACTATACGTTCTGCGTACCTCGACTGATTATCCATATGGGCTTAGTCTTGGGCCTCACAATTTTGAACTGCTCCTTAAGAACTTGACCCAATTAAGAGAGCTCAACCTTTACGATGTGAACCTCTCTTCCACCATTCCTTCCAATTTCTCTTCTCATTTAACAAATCTACGGCTTGCATACACAGAGTTACGTGGGATATTGCCCGAAAGATTCTTCCACCTTTCCAACTTAGAATCCCTTGATTTATCATTCAATCCCCAGCTCACGGTTAGGTTTCCCACAACCAAATGGAATAGCAGTGCATCACTCGTGAATTTATATCTCGCTGGTGTGAATATTGCTGATAGGATACCTGAATCATTTAGCCATCTAACTGCACTTCATAAGCTGCACATGGGTTATACTAATCTGTCAGGGCCCATTCCTAAACCTCTATGGAATCTCACCCACATAGAGAGTTTGTTCCTTGATTATAACCATCTTGAAGGACCAATTTCCCATTTCACGATATTTGAAAAGCTCAAGAGTTTATCACTTGGAAATAACAACTTTGATGGCCGTCTTGAGTTCTTATCCTTTAACAGAAGCTGGATGAAGCTTGAAAGGCTAGATTTTTCATCCAATTTCCTAACTGGTCCAATTCCATCCAATGTAAGTGGACTGCAAAACCTACAACAACTCATCTTGTCGTCAAACCACTTGAATGGGACTATACCTTCCTGGATATTCTCCCTTCCTTCACTGACAGTTTTAAACTTGAGTGATAACACTTTGAGTGGAAAAATTCAGGAGTTCAAGTCCAAAACATTATATTTCGTTAGTCTAGAACAAAATAAGCTGGAAGGTCCAATTCCAAGGTCACTCCTAAACCAGCAGTTCCTACAAGCTCTTCTCCTTTCACACAATAATATCAGTGGACATATTTCTTCAGCTATCTGCAATCTGAAAACATTCATACTACTAAATTTGAAAAGTAATAATTTGGAGGGAACAATCCCACAATGTTTGGGTGAGATGAGTGAACTTCAAGTTTTGGATTTAAGCAACAATAGTCTTAGTGGAACAATGAATACAACTTTTAGTATTGGAAACCCACTCCACATCATTAAATTGGACTGGAATAAGCTACAGGGGAAAGTCCCACCATCTTTGATCAATTGTAAGAAATTGGAACTTCTAGATTTAAGTAACAATGAGTTGAATGACACGTTTCCAAAATGGTTAGGAGACCTACCTAATTTGCAGGTTTTAAACTTTAGATCAAATAAGTTGTATGGCCCTATAAGGACTAACAACTTGTTTGCTAAAATTCGAGTCGTAGATCTCTCATCCAATGGATTTAGTGGAGATTTACCAGTGAGCTTTTTTGAGAATTTTGAAGCCATGAAAATAAATGGTGAGAACAATGGAACCCGAAAGTATGTAGCAGATCTGTATTCTGATTATTACAAAAATTATTTGATAGTGACAACGAAGGGACTGGATCAGGAACTTTCTCGAGTTTTGACTACACAAATAATTATTGATCTCTCAAAGAACAAATTTGAAGGTCATATTCCAAACATTATTGGAGATCTCATTGGACTTCGTACCTTGAACCTATCTCATAATGTCTTGGAAGGTCATATACCGGCATCATTTCAAAATTTATCAGTACTCGAATCATTAGATCTCTCATCTAACAAAATCAGCGGAGCAATTCCGCAGCAGCTTGCATCCCTCACATTCCTTGAAGTCTTAAATCTCTCTCACAATCATCTCGTTGGATGCATCCCCAAAGGAAAACAATTTGATTCGTTCGAGAACAGTTCATACCTTGGAAATGATGGATTACGAGGATTGCCACCCTCAAGAGATTGTGGCCGTGATGATCAAGTAACAACTCCAGCTGAGCTAGATCAAGAAGAAGATTCACCAATGATCAGTTGGCAAGCAGTTCTCATGGGTTACGGTTGTGGACTTGTTATTGGACTATCCGTAATATACATAATGTGGTCAACTCAATATCCAGCATGGTTTTCCAGGATGGATGTAAAATTGGAACACATCATTAGTAAAAGAATGAAAAAACACAAGAAAAGATATTAGTGTGCAGGTAATTAATCAACTTGTTTTTTATCCTTCAAAAGATTACTTCTTCAAAAGTTTTAATTCTTTATTTTTGAAAATTGCAGGATTCAAGTTGTTGAGGATGCAGTTAAATGCCTTTATCTTTCATAGTTTGTGATGTTCCCATAAATGTGTTTGTTATCCTATGAATAAAGACATGACTTTTCTTCCTTTGAGGCTCAAATCAGATTATGTTTTCATTTGTCTATGGCTTGTAGAAATACATTTGAATAATAAACAGAAATCAGACACAAACTTGAATATTTAGATCATTCAATCGGATGATGTATCATGACTAAAAACATTGTATTTCACATTAACACAAACATAGAATACTCACTGTAGTTACAAAGTTCAAAAATATTGTTTTCCAACTCATGATGGAGAAATTTTACCAGTGAGTGACTATCTTTAACTCTTTTCATTGAAGCAGCAGCAAAAAGATTTGCATTATTCTCCGCTGTCTGAGCCTCACGTAGACTGGAATCTGCATTATTTGAAGAGTTGGAGAAAGAGCCTTCAACTCTAAAAATCCAACTCCCGGATGACAGAGTTACCAGATATCTCTCTTAATGGAAGGTAGACGGTACCAGTTGAATTAATTGAATAGAACACAAGTAGACTTGAGCAGTTATACAACAACAAACTACGCGACCTGCAATAATGTTCAAACCAATAGACATAAATACAGAATTGAGTGATATAATTTCTAGTGATTGAAATTCATATGGATTTCAAACATCATTTAGGAAGAAATCAAGTAGAAGCACTTGACTATAGGTGAGGTTTATCGTGATCTACTGTTGTTCTGATTCATTAATTAGCAAACTGCTCCACAATTTCAAAGTTTCGGGGCAAAGAAAAAGATTCATAATAGCAAAAGGAAATACCTCATCAAACAGACTTAGGAACCAGGTTTGTCAAGATATCACTACAGCTTGCTTTAATCCATATGCAGGATCCTTCTAACTGACTTTGTTGAGTCGAGATTTCACAAACATGTATCTGTCATGCTATGACTTAGCTGATGCGGTAGTTATCAGCTCCACTAAATAAACTTGTGGGCTGAAACCTTGCGTATTCCAGCATCGAAAATTGCTTTTCTCAAGGCAGCAGCATAATCCCACCTCTCTGCGCCAGCACAAATGATTCCGTTGCGACTCAAGCAACAGTTGTGCTATTTCATTTTCCAATTCAATAGCTCCATGAAGTCTACAAGCACCCATCAGACAGTGGCATCAGCTTCAAAAGGCATCTTCTTTATCAAGTGTACGCTTCCTGCAGTAGTCCAGCTCTCCCTAAGAGATCAACCACACAACCATAAGTCAAAATTCATGAGACATTGCTTCAAACAATTTAAAACTGAAATATACAAGCTTGGCATGCGCACAAGCTGATAGAACAGACACAAAGGTAATCTCATTTGGTTGCAGACCCTTTGCACCTCATCTTCTCATACATCGTTAATGCATAGCTAAGGAAGAAATCATAACATGATTTTGAAACCTTTACCATTGAGCTAACTTCTAAGAAAAGGGTTGTAGATTAATTGTGATACATTCATTTCTATTCGACCTCCTTTATGATGCAAGTTACATAAATGAAAAAGTGCTAAATTAAGAAACGGAGATTTGGTATCTAGCTTAGAGAAGATTTGGGCCTCTTGAAGTGCACAACACACTGATGGCCCAATCTGCTCACGGACCCAAACCAGCAAAACAAAAGAAAATTAGAATCACATAAAATGAATCTTTAGATCATCCAATTAGACGATATGTGCACACACTAAAAACATTTGTGTTTCACTCAACTCTTTCACATAACACAAACATATAAGACTCGACTTTAAGTTCAGTAACATAAAAATCCGTAGTTATAGAGTTTGAAGATATTTTTCAACAGAATGTCTATATTAAGGGGTATCATACTCATACATAAGTAGTTATTATCATTTGAAGAGTACTTTCATGGAACTTTTTAATTCTGTGAATTTATTTCAGGAGAAGTTTAGGAAAAAAAGGCGATATGTGAATTTACTCCGGAAATTTTTAAAGGTGACCTTCATTTTTTAATTTTCTTGGTACAAATGGACCTGAGATCATGCTGAAAGATGAAGTCGATTGAAACATGTATAACTTTTAGATTTTAATGAACATTTGAAAGAAAGCAAAGTAGAACTTTTCTTAACTTCTTTAGTTTTTGTAATTGAAAGGCAAAGTTGTGTGAGTGGGGGCAGGGTTGTTAAGGGAACCAAAACCTGTTGGTGTGGGGGCAGGGTTGTTAACGGAGTAAGAAAGGTTCTGTCATAGCAAAATTCTTAAAAGACGAATTGTGAAAATAGACCATAAAACGTCGACACTACTTTAAAAAAAGTAAACTTTATTATGGAACGGAGGGAGTATCAATTTGGGACAGAAAGTAAGACCTTAAAAGAAGAAGACAAAGTAAGACCTTAAAAGAAGAAGAGAAAGTTGTGTGTGTGGAGGGTTGTTAAGAGAGCCAAAACAAAGACCTTTTTGTAAGCTATTGAATGAAAATGACCTTCCCAGAATTGATTACTCCAAAGTAATAACTAAATCTGCATAGTGAACTTCGTTCCTGAGTTTGTGCTATATATATCTCATCAAACATAATGAAACATATAGACACAGCAAACATTTCTTGATTTCTTCTCTATCAACTTAACTAGTTTTGATCATTTTAGTGCAGAAATGGATTGTGTGAAACTTATATTTTTTATGCTATATCCCTTTCTCTGTCAACTTGCTTTATCCTCATCCTCACCTCATTTGTGCCCCAAAGATGAAGCTCTTGCTCTTCTACAATTCAAGCACATGTTTACCGTTAATCCTAATGCTTCTGATTATTGTTACGACATAACAGACCAAGAGAATATCCAGTCATATCCAAGAACTCTGTCATGGAACAACAGCATAGATTGTTGCTCATGGAATGGAGTTCATTGTGACGAGACGACAGGGCAAGTGATTGAGCTTGATCTCCGTTGCAGCCAACTTCAAGGCAAGTTTCATTCCAATAGCAGCCTCTTTCACCTCTCCAATCTCAAAAGCCTTGATTTGGCTTATAATAATTTTTCTGGATCACTCATTTCACCTAAATTTGGTGAGTTCTCTGGCTTGGCGCATCTTGATTTGTCACATTCAAGTTTTACAGGTCTGATCCCAGCTGAAATCTCTCACCTTTCTAAACTACACATTCTTCGTATAGGTGATCAACATGAGCTTAGTCTTGGGCCTCACAATTTTGAACTGCTCCTTAAGAACTTGACCCAATTAAGAGAGCTCCACCTTGAATCTGTCAACATCTCTTCCACTATTCCTTCAAATTTCTCTTCTCATTTAACAACTCTACAACTTTCAGACACACAGTTACGTGGGATTTTGCCCGAAAGAGTTCTCCACCTTTCCAACTTAGAAACCCTTATTTTATCATATAACAACTTTCATGGCCAACTTGAGTTCTTATCCTTTAACAGAAGTTGGACCCGACTTGAATTGCTAGATTTTTCGTCCAATTCCCTTACTGGTCCAGTCCCATCCAATGTAAGTGGACTGCAAAACCTACTATGGCTCAGCTTGTCATCAAACCACTTGAATGGGACTATACCTTCCTGGATATTCTCCCTTCCTTCGCTAAAAGTGTTAGACTTGAGCAATAACACTTTCAGAGGAAAAATTCAGGAGTTCAAGTCCAAAACATTAAGTATCGTTACTCTTAAAGAAAATCAGCTGGAAGGTCCAATACCAAATTCACTCCTAAACACGCCAAGCCTAAGAATTCTTCTTCTTTCACACAATAATATCAGTGGACAGATTGCTTCAACTATCTGCAATCTGACAGCACTGAATGTGCTAAATTTGAGAAGTAATAATTTGGAGGGGACAATCCCACAATGTTTGGGTAAGATGAATATTTGTAAATTGGATTTGAGCAACAACAGTCTTAGTGGGACAATTAATACAAATTTTAGTATTGGAAACCAACTCAGGGTCATTAGCTTGCATGGGAATAAGCTAACAGGGAAAGTCCCACGATCTTTGATCAATTGCAAGTACTTGACACTTCTTGATCTAGGTAACAATCAGTTGAATGACACATTTCCAAACTGGTTCGGAGACCTACCTCATTTGCAGATTTTTAGCTTGAGATCAAATAAGTTTCATGGTCCTATTAAATCTTCAGGGAATACAAACTTGTTTGCGCAGCTTCAAATTCTGGATCTGTCATCCAATGGATTTAGTGGTAATTTACCAATAAGTCTTTTTGGGAATTTGCAAGCCATGAAAAAAATTGATGAGAGTACTACCCCACATTATGTGTCTGATCAATATGTTGGTTATTATGATTATTTGACGACAATTACAACAAAGGGACAAGATTATGATTCGGTTCAAATTTTGGATTCTAACATGATTATCGATCTCTCAAAGAACAGGTTTGAAGGTCACATTCCAGGCATTATTGGAGATCTCGTTGGACTTCGTACCTTGAACTTATCTCATAATGTCTTGGAAGGTCATATACCAACATCATTGCAAAATTTATCAGTACTCGAATCATTGGATCTCTCATCTAACAAAATCAGCGGAGAAATTCCGAAGCAGCTTGAATCCCTCACATTTCTTGAAGTCTTGAATCTCTCTCACAATCATCTTGTTGGATGCATTCCCACAGGAAAACAATTTGATTCGTTCGAGAACAGTTCATACCAAGGGAATGATGGGTTACACGGATTTCCACTATCAACACATTGTGGCGGTGATGATCGGGTACCACCGGCAATAACTCCAGCTGAGATAGATCAAGAAGAAGAAGAAGATTCACCAATGATCAGTTGGGAAGCAGTTCTCATGGGTTATGGCTGTGGACTTGTTATTGGACTGTCCGTAATATACATAATGTGGTCAACTCAATATCCAGCATGGTTTTCGAGGTTGGTTGTGAAATTGGAACACAAAATTACTATGAGAATGAAAAGGCACGAGGAAAGATATTAGTGTGTAACAACCTCCAGGTATTTCAACTTGAATTTTATCCTTCAGAAGATTATTTTTTATATATCAATGTAATATCTACATACTTTATCATTAAAGCTCTTAACTTTAATTTCTTTATTTTTGAATTTTGCAGAATTCAAGTCTACAGAGTTGCTGAAGATGCAGATAAAAGCCTTTTATCTTTTATAGTTTGTGATGTTTCCATAAAGTTTTTGTAATCCAATGAATAAAGGCATGACTTTTCTTCCATGAATCAACAGATCATTCAATAAGATGATATGTGTCATCACTAAAAACATTGTACTTCACTCAACTCTGTCACATGACATTTCATAACAAAAACATAGCACTCGACATTATGTTCAGAAACATAAAATTCTGTAGTTACAGAGTTCAAGAATACTTTTTACAGACTCATCGAAAGACCAAAAAAAAAAATCAGGAAACCATGGACCAAAGTTGCAGTCTTCAAAAGTTTAAATTTTATCAGTGAAGCAGAGCAGCAAAATGCCCAACCGACGTATCATGAGAAAGAGACTATGAGCTCAAAAATGGGAATCTTTCAGTCCATAACTCGGAAAATCTAGTATCCAAACACGGCCTCATGGTCTCAGAAGGAGAATCTTCTGTTATTATCATCAATGAATTCAGCATTAACACGCTATAGTATCCAACATGGCCTCATGGGCTGTCATAGCATCGTGTCATTTAAGTATCTAAAGATGAATAGGTAAAGTTCTACTGGTTGATAATATAATGTTTAGGGATCACGAACAACGCCCAAGGACAAAATCATAGTAAAATATGTGACAATTTGTCAGGATATTCTTCAACATACAATAACTTGAATAGCAACGACAACCACAATGGGGTTGGTCTAGCAGTTGAAAAATTGGAGAAACAACCTTAAAAACGAAGGTTAGAATCCTAGCAGAACACAAGCTGACCTGTGTTGGTGGCTGAGTTACTCACTATCTGTGTTGGTGGGAGGTAGACGGTACCGATTGATTAATCAAGTATTACTGCTACACAACAGCAACTATGCATCAGTCCCAAACAACAACTTGCATAGAGACCTGCAATAATGTTTAAAACCTTACCTAAGATTAGACATGAACACACAATTAAGTTATAGAATTGCTAGTGATCCAAATCCATATGGATTTGATACTTCATTTGGGTAGAAGTCAAGCAGAACCACATAAGTGATGTTTACGTGATCAACTAATTAATTAGCAAACTCACCATAATGTCCAAGTTTTTGGCCAAAGATAAAGATTCAGAAAAAGAAAAGTAGAAAAAAAAAAATACCTCGCCAAACAGACTTTGAAACCAGGTTTCTTTAATGTATCCTCCTTGATCTGAAGCAGTGCTTCAATCTCTGTGCAAAATCCATATGCAGGATCCTTTTAGCTGAATTTGATGAGTAGAGATGCCATCACCAAGCCGCTGCAGTTATCAGCTCTACTAAACTAAACTGTGGGCTGGAACCTTGTGTATTCCAGCATCTAACATTGCTTTTCTCAAGGCAGCAGCATGATCCCACCTCTCTGCACCAGCATAAATGCTTGAGAGTTGCACATAACGGCCAGAATGACTTGGTTGCGACTCAAGCAGTAGTTGTGATACTTCATTTCCCAATTCAATAGCTCCATGAAGTCTACAGGCACCCATCAGAGCCCCCAATACAGTGGCATCAGCTTCAAAAGGCATCTTCTTTATGAAGTCGTACGCTTCCTGTAATAGCCCAGCTCTCCCTAAGAGATCAACCACACAACCATAATGTTCCATCTTAGCTACAAGTCCAAATTCATGTGACATTGCTTCAAACAATTTAAAACCGAAATCAACAAGCTTGGCACGCGCACAAGCTGATAGAACAGCCACGAAGGTAATCTCATTTGGTTGCAGCCCCTTTGCCCTCATCTTCTCATACATCATTAATGCCTGCTTCTCTCTTCCATTCAAAGCTAGGGAAGAAATCATAGCATTCCAAGCACAAACCTGCTTGCTAACCATTGCATCAAATATCTTTGAAGCATAAACCAAAGAACCCATCTTTCCATAAAACGCGATCAATGCGGTCATCGTGAAGACACTCAACTCCTCATTCTTTACCATGTAAGCATGTACTTGCCTCCCAAGATATAATGCCACACCAATATCCAAAAATGTGCAAGAAGAAAGAATACTAACAAAAGTAGCCTCGTTTGGCTTCAATAAACCACGCTTCACATCCTCGTGTACCATCATTCTCTGGAAAAACTTAACAGCAACTTCAGAGCACCCGTTTTTCATGTACCCATGAATCATACTAGTCCATGAATAAACATCTCTATAAGACATGCGAGAAAACATCAAGAACCCCAAACCCATATCCCCATTTTTCCCACAAGCATCAAGCATCGCATTATACGAGACAATACACGGTTCAGGAATTTCATCAAAAACCTTGTGCGCACTCTCGAGTTCACCCGCGTGCGAATACAGCCCAATGAAAGATGTACAGACATACGGGTCACCCAAGACCCCTCTTCTCAAGACTTGACAGTGAAGGTTCTTGCCTATATATGAAGCCAAACGGGACGGGAAAGACGAGGCTGCTTTGCTAAGGGAAGGGAAAGTATGGCTATTCGGCTGAGCTTGATGAAAGAGCATGTGGGTGAAAAGGATGAGAGCTGTTTGAGGCTGAGAAATGTTGAGATAAGCCCTGATGAGAGTGTTGTAAAGCAGTGTGTTGATCCATTGAGAGGTAAGGAGGAGACGGCCACTCGTTGTGAGCAGCGAATGGACTTGTTTGATTTGGTTTGAGTGTTTGATAAAATGCTGCAGAAGTTGAAGCATATGTTCAGGTTTTTTTGGCTTTGGCATTCCAACATTGTCAGCACCTAAGATCATGGGGAAGTAATTTATAAATAGTCATAGACTTTTTCACTGTCCCACCAGTGGCGGAGCTATTAAAATATAAAAAAATAAGCACACAAAGAAACCAAGGGGATTCAACATCTATTAAATATACAACGACAACAACAACATACCCAATGAAATCCCACAAGTGAAGTTTGGGAGGGTAGAGTGTACGTAGACCTTACCACTACCTTGTGGAGGTAGAGAGGTTGTTTCCGGAAGACCCTCAACTCGAGTATAGATATCAGAGTAAGTATGAAAAGGAAAAATGACAGAGAAGATAATATAGCAACTATTACGAAAATAGTAACAACAACAAAATAATGAAATAATCGGAACATCATAAAAATAGATGGTGGTAGAAAGCAAAAGCAAGTCAGCACAAGAATAACGCTACTACTACGACAGACACCACTAAGCCAAAATCCTTTGGAAAGCAAGAGAACACTCTACTACCTATTAACCTTCTACCTTAATCTGCGACCTCCACACCCTCCTATTTAAGGTCATGTCTTCAGCTCCAGCTGAGGACATAAAAAAAATTATGCAGATTCTTTTGGTTTGACTTAGCTATTAGAATTTTCATTTGATCATTACTTGTTACACTATCAATTAACATATGCCCTAGTCCATAAGAAGGCATGTACTAAAATCTTGTTGTTGACTAATTGAAACATATACCATTGAGCTAACCATCTAAGAAAATGGCTGTAAATTATTTGTTATACATCAATTTCTATTCGACCTCTTTTATCCTTGAAGCTCTTAATGTTAACTCTTGATTTTTGAAAATTTCCGGTTTCGAGTCTAATTAGTTGTCGGAACGCAAATACAAGCTTTTTACTTTCATAGGTTATTGTTGTTTCATGAAGTGTTTATTACCCTATGAATAAAGACATGAGTTTTCTTCCTTTGTAACTGAACCAGATATGTTTTCATCGGTCTACAGTATGTAGAACTAAATTCAGTATCATTATTATTAGTTAACTACCTCCACCTATTCCTTCCCATATTAGTGGCCTACATAACCTACCATTTCTCCTATTGTCATCAAACTATTTGAACAGGACAAAATGTTCCATCCTGGTTATCCTTTCCTCCCTTCTTCGGTTTTGAAGAAAAACCATCAATTTCATTGTCGAAATTGAGGAACTCAAGTCCAAAACATAATCTTGGACTGATTTAGGGGCAAAAATCAGTTCCTAAGAATTTCATCAAATGCAATAAGGGTCAAAACATCTTTTGAGCCAACCATCTATCCGAAACCGTCTCTCTACCCCCAACAAAGGTAGGGGCAAGTGACACCACTTGTGAAACTACACTAAATTATTACAAAAGGGTCAAAACAGAAACCCCACCAAAGCAAAACAAACTTTTTTCCCACAAAACATAGAAAATTAATCAAAAAGAAGCTAGCTTTGAGTACCAAGATTCAACCTTTTTACACTTACAAATCAAATACTTCAAAAACATCTCATTATAATATCAAAAAAGAACATACATTTCACTCATCTGTAAGTAAAGAATGAAGCAAAGAAGTAAAAAAATTATACCTTTCAGCTGCAAATCCTTGAATTTTAGCCAAATGGGGTTTCTCTATTATGCTTTTGAAACTTCAAAAAAATTATTAGTAAAAAAAAAAATCCCTTTTTGCTCCGCTGATGAAATTAGGGCTCCACTATTCTCTCGGGTTATGGGTAAAATGATGTAATGTAAATGCTAAATTAGTCCCTAAGTTTTTCTTTATGTGAAGTTTGATCCCTTTAGTATCTACAATACAACTTTTTATAATTGAAGAGAAGCTATATTATAAAAGCATATATATTTAATTATATACTTCCTCCGTCTCAAAATACGTATCGTATTTCTTTTTTTAAAAATTGATTTAACTAATATTCGAAGCTGAATTAGATTCAATTAGTTTGATATTCTATAATTTAAATGTAAGTAATAGAAAATTTACATGAAAGGTATTATAAGAAGTTGTTCTTTTTATATTAATATAATGAAAAAAAATATTTAAAAATATTAATCAAAATTTATGTTATGTAATTATTGAAAAAAGGAAATGTTATAAGTAATAAAAAAATTGATTTTAATGACCATGAATTGAAAATTGTATCAAAAATATATATGAGATACATAATATTCTTGATCTTATCCCAAACACTTTAACGGAACAGGGGTTAAAATTTCACAAATAGCTACTTATATCGTGTGTTAAATTCGAAATTTCATGACATTAACTATTTTTCTTAAAGAGTTGTCTGAGAAATGGTCAGTAATCACTATTTATCATGGAATAGAAGTATAAAGTATTGCTTGTGGGGTGCAATTTATCATGACAAAATAACATAATCAGCTAACAATTTTTACCTCACTTTAAATAATTTCAAGAAAATTTACACTTCCGTATCATTCAAAAAGTATCAAGAATAGGTAAAGATAATCTAATTTACATAGAAAAAAAAATTATAATGATAAATATATATATATAACTTAAACTTGATAAATAACACACATTAGTCCAAATTAATTATTTTTTAAGGTAGAGAGTAGTCCACGTAGTATACAAATTATGCAATAATTTCAATCAACAAATTAAATGCATGGATCTTAGATTATTATTATAATTATTAAAACTAAATATTATATCCGTACGAGTTCAAAGTGCAAGTTTAAATTTAAAAAGTTTAATATTAATTGTTTAAAATAAATATGCCAGCTCTAATTAACAAGGCTAATCATATATTATAATTAAGCAAATCTTTTTATTCAATGAAAGTGCTTACATTATAATTTTGTCTTATGGTTGTTGTGTCTGCTCAACTAATTAATGCCACATGTAAGAATTTGAACTTAAAAAAAAATTAAATTATTTTACTCTTACTTGAAAATTAAACAAATTTAATTAAAGTAATAAGAGTAAAGAAAGTATGTTATTTGTGGAATTCGAAATAGCAGAAATAAGTTCGTATTCTGATTTTAAAAATTAAAATGAATTTTTTTTTCTTGCTATTAAAAGTAGAAATAATGTTACAAGTATTAATTAAAAAAAGTGATATGAAACTAAAAGTTAGAATAATCGGGAAAAAAAATTAATATTCATATTAAAGTTCAACTAAATTCTGATTCACATCGAAAATCTCATGTTTTAAGCAATACTTCATACTTGAAGCTCGAACTGAAAATCATATCTCTTATTCATATTAAAGTTCGATAAAATTCAGATTCAAACCGAAAAATCATATATTTGAGTTTAAATAATCTATAATAAAGATAAACTTCATACTCAAAGTTCGAACTTAAAACCTCTAATTAAAAATAAAAGAATACATACAAATCTATAAGTTACGAGCTATGATTTAACTATCAAAAATAACAAGTTACAAAGAAAAAAAAAATCCCAATAAACTCATGAGATATATGGATATTAATTAATATGCAAATCTTCCATAGATCTTTTAAACAATAAATTAAGAAGAATTATCCATAATTGAATAAACCTCCTAGATATGAAATCTTCATATTTAAGATCACAAATCTTTCAATTAACACTTAAACCAATTGTTACACTCCAAGTATATTCTAATGAGCTGGAAGTAGATAGCAAAACTTAGACTTAATACTCTTAATGTTCTTTTTTATCTCAAATAAACAAAAATAAAAAACATTAAAAGGAAAGTTCAAAAATTAAAGAGAAAAAAAACACATGATGCCCTTTACAAATGGTACAACAATTATTTAAACCACTAATGTGTTGTACCAATTAAGTAATCCCTCCACCAATAATATCATTAGTGATAGAATGATAAGTATGCATTCATTCGTAATCAGATGTTTTAAGTTTGATAACTGGATATGAAGTCACCTTTGCTGGGAAATAATTGAACTTCTCAGCGCGAATGCGTATAGTACTTATACTTTATTAATCAGATATGAGATCACCTTTGTTAGGGACGTATTTACCTATCAATGTGAACTTCTTTGCGCGAATCTAAATTTAGTCGGGCTTTAGTACTCATTCCCTATTAATCAGACGTCTCATGTTTGATCACTATATATGAAGTTGACTTTGTTAGAGGCTAATTTACCTATCAATGTAAATTTCTCGGCGCGAATCTAAATTTAATCAACCTCTAATACAGATATCGAACAACGACGAAAACAAAAACAAAATACATAATAGCTCATGTTGCAAGTTTTAAATGTATATATAGCATGATATATATAAGTGCATGCAGCCTTTAGGAAAATAGAATAAGTATTTACTTGTCAATATTCCCTAATTATTGACAAGTTCATGAACTTATCCAACAAACATTAAGGTCTATAATTGAAGATTTTGCAGAAAAAAAGATATATTTTGTTTTTTTTTTTTCTTCAGTTTTTGTCTGTACTTTTAACAATCCCATGTTTTGAATCTCATAGACAGTAACAATTGGCTTTTGAATTAATGAAACTCTTCATCCAACATATGACCATCATATTGTCTTTACATATGTTATATTAAGCTCCACTTCTTCTCATGTCTCAAGAACGAGTTTTAGTGTCTGGATCAGCTTGCGTGCATGTGTAGATATCGAGTAACTCTGCCCCAGTACTAATGCTTAGGTAGATGTTGAGAAATCAATTACTGTCGTTTCATTTCATCTATCATAGTTTGATTGTGCACGAAGTTTAAGAAAAATGTTTGTAATGTTCGAAACATCTGATCTTTTGAATCTTGATCTAGGTCAAGTGCATGTGCTTTACATATTTCTTAAATATTGGGATTTCATTAATAATAATATTTTTTTCACTTCCAAGAAGTTGTAAGCACATCATAATGATTGAGTATTAAAGAAATTAATTAGTAGTTATACTAATGACCTGTGATTCAGTCTTATCAAAACTGCCTCTATTATTTGCTTAACAACAAATTGTCAGAAAGAAATAATGTTAATTACACTTGACTTTGTTAAACAGGCATGTTTTATGTCAGTTTATCATGTCAACAGTACCTAATCTTAACATAAACTAGAAAATTAACAAAAACCAAACAACCCCTAGTGTTTGGTTTCAATGTTCAAGGTAGTACAACACATGATGTGTGGTTAGAGCATCTTATGTTGCTCGGACTCTTCAAAAATGTCTATGGTCATGTGTCTGATCCTTCAAAAGTAGTATAGTTTTCGAGTGTCTAATACAACCACAGCAACATTCTTGGAAGGTCCGAAATCTGATCCTCCAAAAGTAGTATAGTTTTTGAGTATCTAATATACAACTACAGTAACATTCTTGGAAAGTCCGAGCAATAGAGCAGCACGTCAAGGGCTCGATTACACGACTTTCCGGTTATCAAGAACAATGCAAACTAAACACAGACTTTTACTCGAACTCTTCAAAAGTGCAACCAAGTAGAAGTCAGATTCTTTACAAGTAGTGCATTTTGGAGGATCCGACACTTATGTAGACCATCATTTTTAGAGAGTCCGAGCAACGTAAGTGGGAGTACAGCCCTTTGTGACTGTCAGAGTACAACAACAAGATCAACTTCTCAAGAAAATAAGTTTAAGCTAAGAAAACCATAGATAAAGAATGAATGATTTCCTTTTCTTTTTTTTTTTCTGTTTCTCATTTCTTTCTTTTCCACTTACAAATAAGTATTGGAATTCAAAATTTTACAATTTCCATATTGCAATCTACCACTAGGATGAACAAAACTTGTGTACAGTTGAATAGGAAAAAATAAAACTATGGAAGAATTGTTATGAAAAGAATTTCTATGTCATTTTGTCTATTCACAGTGAAAGAACAGACTAATGAAAGAAGAAAAAAACTAATCCTAGTTCAAATGAATATGAAGTTAGGGTCCTTTATGTGGTGGAGAGGAATATTTGCTATTGAGGCAAGATAAAGTTTTGTTGCCCATAGGAGAAAGGGAACAGGAAACCTGCATTACGCGGCTCAGGCTCGTTGGAGTTGATGCCCTTGAAGGGAAGTTCATTTTGAGACGGCAAGCACTTCTCGGGGACAAGCTCACTTGTTCTAAAGCATGGGATTGCAGCTGTGAGGGGTAATCCCTCAAACATCCGATACGAGGGCCAGCTCCTGTGCTCCATTTGCAAGAAAGTTGCTTTCCCAACTGATACGATTTAAGATCCTTGTGTGAATTAATCCTTTGGATGATAGATTCATCTGGAATTATCTCTTCATTACTTACATCGAGTTCTTCAACAGAAGAGCTGCGTTCTAAATCCATTTGATCTTGTTCGGGAGCAAACAATTCTCTTGCTGTTCTGTATCCGTCTGTGGGCGATTCCAAGTAGGAAAAAGATTTAGCAGCTTCACTTTCGTTCTTTAACTTCTCTATGAAACCATCGTTCCGGGGAATTTGAAGAGTGGGCAATTTGATACTGAAGTTATGAGATGGTTTTGAATTGGAAAGTTGTATATCAGCAGCTTGCTCTTGCACTTTCAAGTCTCTTTTCTCTGAATTCAACTCTTCTAGATCATTCTCCTCTGTCTCCAAACCATCTTTTTGTAAGTCGTCCTCAGAAGAATCGCCTCTGAGGAAAACGGCACTCTTCTTGCCAATCGATTCTTCCTCGTCTTCATCAGAATCAAGCTTAACATCATTGAGATCGACATTGTTCTCTGTCATGAATGAAATGAAGTCCTGGAAGTTTTCTGGGGTAGGTCGGTAATGTCCGCTG